CGCGATATGATACATTGTGGGAGCGCAAGACTGTACAGCTGACATTTGAAAAATAAGTGCGCATGCGTTTTTCTTTGCCGATCTTGTCCCCCAATCTCGAATAAGATGAATGAATGGTTTGCTTGTTAATTTGTTTCCTTCTTAAATTGCCTTACGAGGGCTAAAATAAATATTCGCTAAGGAATAATAAAGATCGCGATTTTCGCAAACTTGTCATTGTGGCATGTTTTATTGTATCGCAATATTGCGATATCTTGACAGTTGTTCTTATAGCGATATTCGTATGAGAAGAGGTATCGCGGTTTACCGATTCCTCGGCGTATACTTGCAGCCCTAGGAAACATTATAAGTTAAAGCACCCTTTACAAGTTTCGGTAACACCCAACAAGTGTTGTCAATAAAATATCTGATCCTAAGGCCGTGATCGCTTTATAAGAAATTGTAAATACTTGAATAAAAAACTGGGGGTTCTCTTATGTACTGCTTCATCTTCTAGACCCGCAGTTTTAACGAGAAAAACAGTGATTCATTTTTAGGTGTAGCAAGTTTGAAAGTTATTTCGAGGTTAAAATCGTTCGTGTACTAAATACCATTGTCTCTTTTATCATTTTCAAAGGCCATTGCAGATGAATTTCTCTCAAGTGAGTATAAATAACTCGTTAACACAACTATAGATCTGTCGTAATATCTATTAGCTGCTCGATCTCAGGGGCACCCAACGAGGATATAGTTCAAAACCACTTAACATAGCATTGTTGAACGTATTTTAGTATTTAAAAGGTAGATATAGGCATATTTTTATCCCCTAAGAACTTTTCATCTGTTCGGATTTCGTACCTGAAAGTCAAGTGATCCGAAAATTATAGGGATAAAAACTTAGCTTCTCGAAAATTTCAGCCTGGAAAAAGGCTCCCGAAAATTCTAGTTGGCCTTTTTTAGGGTCAAAATCCGTTAAAAATGGGCAATTATACTATTTTGTGGATGTTCGAAAATCCTAGGAGAGGCAGGCAAACAAGAAATTTGACAACCAATGTCCGAAAATTCTAGATCTCAAATCGTCTTCCGAACAGATATTTTCCGAAAATTGCCGCTGGGTGCCCCTGCGATCTGTTTTCATTTTTCTACTCTTAAACATCCCTGATTTTTGGAGTTGCTTTCACTCCGAGGAGGGCCGTAGTAAATTTTCAAGAATAATCCTAATTTTCCTTTTGTGTGAACAGCAGATGGCATTTAAAAAACTACTAAATTTTCTATTTGGCCTGAATGCCTACAGTTACAGCTACCTTATGAAGATCTTTATAAATCAGTAGTTTTTTATTTTATATTTACATTTACCAACTTCCATCGTGGTTTACATTATTTTTGCGTTGTATTTTCTTCTCTCAAACATCGATTTTATTATGTTTGACATTAGCAGCATTTTTCTGCACTTCCATTGTCAATTTATTCAGCTTTTTTATCATGTATAGAACAAATAACGCCAGAAGAATTTATACAGAGATTTTTAGAGAAAAGAAAGGTAACTAACCGTGGTTACGGTCATCTCGCCACCAACGAGTACCGGTATTTAGTGCAATGGAACCATGAAACCCATCATTTTTGTCTTGGTTTAGCAACTTTTGACTATTTAAAATCGTAAAAATCCTAGGAAAGTAATCCTACGTGAGTTATTACAGAGTCATTACTTGGTGGCGAGTTGGTTGACGGCGAGTCGACTTTTTGGTGGTGATTTCTTTGGTGGCGAGATGACAGATTACCCTAACCATTAGTAATTGTACGGGTAAGGGACAGACGCAAGGGTCACAGGGTTCGTACAGAGTTTTGATGCAAATCCAAACAATATAATTTTCTTTTTCCAGATGGACTTAAGGTTATGAAACAGGCGCCAGATCGATAGAGACCTCGACATACGCAGGAGAAAAAACTTTTCCTATGATGCACTGCGAACTAAAAGTAACCACAATGCAATGCGCGCATAACAGAGTTCTGAAAATTCTCTTTTCACGTCATTGAATGTTTTGGCTACAAAAGACACTTAATTTTAAAGATTTGACTACCACTATTTGAAAAAGAAAAACAGTTCACCTTTTTTCCATTCCTTCATTTTCCAACTTTTTTCCAGGTCTGGAATTTCAAAACTTTTTTGTAAGAATTCAAGTCTCTGAACGAACCCTGGGAGAAATCATGCTACAAGTGAAGGAATGACTGCTCATTCATATCCGGCCCTGACAGAAATTGTGTTGCCATGGGGGTTTTCCCTGTACAACCGAACAACTGATATTGATTTGAGATATAGAGGATATTACATGGCCGCGCAGAGGTACGAAATTTCTCTTTGAGTGTTGAAAAACATTTCACGAGTGAGTGCAGCGAACGAGTGAAATATTTTTTTTCAACACGAGAAGAGAAATTTCACATCTCCAAGCGACCATCAACACAGTGACACTTAAAATTAAAGTGCACCTAAGTCCACTTGTGACCATCATACATCTTTCATATCACTCTGCCCTTTTTTTTGCTATTTGACTAATGCCCTTTTTTCTTTGACCAGTTGAATTTGCCCGAAATTTAGTTTACGGTCGTGCAAAATGGACCTAGGGCAAGCGAAGCTATGTTCTAATACCTTTTGAGAGGGGCGGGGGGGGGGGGAGTTTTGGGAGACTGTTTGAGAGATTCCTTGTCCCCTCTTGTATGTTCCTTTTCCCAACCCTTTTATTTGTCTTTCCGCACGTCAATAGTTTCCTGCCACGTGTCAAGATCATTGTATTGATCAAAAAAAAAAAGTCAACACGGTGTCATCTTCTCGTTTCCTTCTCTTTTACGGAAATCTTCACACAAGATATTAGAGAAGGAATGCAACAAAAGTACTTGACTGTAATCTGAAAGAAAAGAACCTCGGGATCTCATGTCAGAGTTTCAATTCCTAAGTGACTATTGTAAGGTTTCTAAATATCAAATTTTTATTTCCAGTGGCTAACATCTTACTGCAAGTCCACAGAAATTGTTTGGGAGTGTCTCTGAAAATAGTGACTGAACAGAGCTTTAATAGTTTATAATAAATGAATTAATCATAAAATGATAGTTACCTAGCACAGATAACACTCAGATTTTGGTTTAGAGATGATCGTGGTTTGGACCAATATGAATAAATTGCCCTTAAACTGGCAAAATTCTTATTGTGCACATGTATGTTGTAGTTATTTTTTTATCTCTAGTAATTTTTATTTTTCTTTTGTTTCAACTTCATTAGCATATATTACCATACCCAAAAACAAAAGAAAAACAAAAATTACCTGAAATAAAAAATTAACTACAACACGTACACTGATTTTAATGGTTACACAAACAGATTGCCTAAGGACATTCTGGCAAATTGTAGCCTGTGTTGCAAACATAATCTAAGCTAAGTTTGTAACATCTGCGAAACAGCACCAATATCCTTGTTCTGGGCCCTAAACAGACTCAACAATTTTCCTGACGTGCGCTTTGAATTTCCTTTCAACCTGGCCCCGGTTGCTCAACGGTTGGATAGCGCTATCCGACGTTTGAACAACCAGATCCTGATTGATAAAATGACAATGGCTTTTTAGAGGCCAACCATGGTGCATACTCGAATCCTGATACACAAGTTGGGACCCAGAACAAGGATTTCAGTACTGTTTTGCAGACCGACTTAACCAAGGTTTAGAATCATTTGTGGCACAGGCTACCAAATTGTTTCTTTCACAAGATATCTTTAACATCACAATGTGTCATTCTTACAAAGAAAGTGTTTTAATACTGATTAATTTAGATTTAAAAAATCAGTAATATGATTAAGCAGAACCAATGCAAACTGTAAATGTGTCCGTAACAACTCTGTGGTTAATAATTCTGGGGAAAATGCTTTACAAAACAACTGTTTATAATATTAAAAAATGTCAACAACAACAAGCCTTGTAAATGCCTCTAACACTCACAATCTAAAATAACTTGAATGATTTTCATAACTTTTGCCCTTGTTTCTGAACCAACACAAAATCATTTTTTTTAAGCACAGCAATGACCTTTTCTTAAAGCTGCTTGAATGGCTGCTGCTTCATGGGAATGCAGTAACTGCACAAGAGATTTGAAAACGAAAAAAATTTTGATCATCTTGAGCTTGCATTGTAAGTAACCAAAGCATAACTGCAAGAGTTGAGACAGGTTGATGAATGCTGGCCGTGATCTAAAATAACTTTCTTTGACATTAATTTTATCTGACCCTTTAACCCACAGTCTTGTCATCTGGGGCTTATAATAATTTAGTGGGTAAAATATTATGAACTGTGACCAGCTAACTTGTAATGGTACTTCAGACTGACATCTAAAGAAAAACTGGAATATATATCCATGCCATTCTTCAGTGCTTTCATCCGACTCACTGTAAGATAGACGCATCTCTAATTTCCACTCAAGTCACTAGTAAATCAATAATTTGTTCAGAAACGTCTTCTATACAGGCTACTCTAAGATTCACCCTCCCAGTGGTTTTCATCTTGGACAGAGATGACTATAGTTTAAATTTTATCCTGGATTTGGAATTTCAATGTTGGGACACTAAGTAAAGTGTCAATACATCATGTGTGTTTACACCTTCCAAGAGACACCACAAAGTCAATTTGAGTGAAGCCTTCGAGATGCCCTGAGGCAAAGCATAATATGAGGAGAGAATCCCCACCATGAATTTTTAAATCCTTAAAAACTCTTACACTATCCTTTGGTTACCTACAACATGTACGGAAGCTATTTAATAAAATAATAAGTGCAAAAAGTTTTTTGACAAAACCTAATGAAGAAGTGGGAAAGAGAAAAACAGGTTTTCCATGCTGGGGAGAAGGGGGAGGGGGGACTTCCCAGTTCCTTGCCATTAAAAATACAACACTCAAAATGCCTTTATCCTGTAAGTCATGGAAAGAATAACAAATGATACGTTACTAAAACAAATTCAGTCAATGCCCAGGAATTATAATCAAGAATCACTAAGCTGACTTCATCATGTTGGTAGCCTTCTTTTCCAGGGACTGCAACAGTCCTCTCTGTTTACGAAGAAGGTCACTAATCTTGCTCTCTCGCAACTCCATATTTCTCTGTAAAATTTCATCCTCGTACACTTTTGGGGTGTTGAACTCACAACCAGGTTTGATTAACAGGTTGACATCAGTGCAGTCTACAATAATTTCATCTCTCTCCTTAGTTTCTCCAGTCTCAGGTGAAAGACTTTCCTGGTTGTATCTGCATTCTAAAGGAAAAAAAAGGTGGTGTTAATGACATGAAACAAATGCCATCAGAAATTTTTTGGTTACTAAAACTCACCTCTCCTCATTCCTTGCAGTCAGCCTCTATTTTTGCTTGGTGAAGTGAGCAAGTAAGTCGAGAACAAATTATAAAGAAATATGCTGCTAAAATTCATTTGGGAAGCAAGCCGGTACACAATCTGCTTCCCAGTGGACACAAAGAATAAGAACTGCACGGTGTTGCTTGTTAGAGTGAAGCAGTAGCTATCTCCCAGGTTCTTTTATAAATGATGGATGGTAAAAAGAAAAGAAAATCCTGTATAGGTCATTGTGAATGGCAACATTGATTGGAATCACCACATCTATTTTAATACTGAGAAAAATCCACCTTGAACATATAGCCTATCAAATCTTTTGAATAAAGCTCGCAGTAACATTACCTTCCTCAAGCAAAATTTATGGGATGCAGCTCGAAGAACACCCAGAGATGGAAAGATTAGCTAAAAAAAATTTAAATCTAAAATTTATGGGATGCAACTTGAAGAACACCCAGAGATGGAAAGATAAGCTAAAAAAAGAATTTTGTGGTGACTGACATTTCTTGCTTTGCAACCACGTGAAAAAGTGGCCATGTTGGGGGTGAATACAATAGTACTTTTTCTCGAAGAATTTACATGAAAATAGAGTTTAGTTCCTAGAGGGGAGAAATGCTTTTGTTCTTGACCACCGACGTGGCCGCCGCACGTCACGTGCAAACGACTATCATTTAAGAACGTATGGAAAATTGTAACGATTTGTATGGAAAAAATACTATGAAACCACCATAAAACCTCAGTATTAAGGATTAAAAAAACTATGCCTGTCAAATCTCTGGTATTTTGAGAGTCGTATCCTATAATTTTGCTGGCAGCAACATATTGTTGCATAATTTCATTGGCGCGTTTACACAAAATGACGGGAAAACGAAGTGATTTTGTTGACATTTTCATAAGCAATCATACAGTAATTTTTCCACTGCTTACCTTTTCTTTCCCTTTCCGACATCGACAGATCATCCAGACAACTTGTTACGTCGAAATTCACTTCTAGGACATCTTTCCTGACAACTTTTCGAGGCAAAGTTTTACAACGTCGTTTGAGAGAATCAACGTTGAACGCATGGATGTCAACCTGTTTTCTTTTTAGCTCTCCGCGGCTTGCTTTAATTTTATTCCCGACCTGGCTCTCGGAGATAAAGGCTGATGACCAACTGTTAGGCAGTTCGGGATAAAATGTTTTAAACTTAACTTTATCTGAACTCAAATGCTCAAACTTTTCCCCGGTAATCCTATCACAGAAGTCGCCTGAAGAATTATCCAAGGTTTGCCTATCTTTTGGCTGTTGGGTATCTCCAGAGTACACCACGCTAAATACAGAGGCATTACACTCAGCGATGCCCTTAGAGGGTCCTTCGGAAACACTTCCATATTTTGTGTGCGACGTTCGAGATTTTCGCAGTTTGGCGACTGTGGAGTTGGTAAGTTCACTTGCTAGGCCAGTTGGGGGCGAGGTTCGACTTTTTCCATACAAGAGTTCCATTTTTTCAAATAAGTTCATACGATAGCCATCCTTCGATAATTTTTCATCTGCCTGCTCGGAAATGATAGACTTTTTCATGCTATCTCTTGCGTTCATCGCTACCACTTCGCTAGTTTGATGAGTGAATTTTGCATCACTCTTTCTTGTTTCGCGCTTCAACTCCTTATTTGGTAGTCGCGATGACATTTTGACGGGCGTCGTTTTCTGAGGACTTCCTTCTCGAATGAAGTTTTCACTACCCTCGATATCCGTTGCGTCATTAGAAAGATGCTTGATTTCTTTCTGAAGTGTCGCAGTTTTCTTAACTAGGAGTGTCTGCTGTTTTCTATCCTCGCTAATCAAACGATTTTGAACATTGCTGATTTTCTGAATGCGATTTTGAATCATAGTTTTCTTCTTTAGCATCACTAACTGTTCGCGGTTTTGTGTCCAGGAATTTTTTCCCTCACATTCCGTGGAAGCAGTTGTCTTGATTTCACTCTCTGGCGATCCATGGATAACACGTAATGGTGTAGGAGTACCGAATGGGACCTAAAAACAAACAAAATTACTAGAAATACGTGTATCGCAGAACCTCACAGGGCTTTGAGGAGAGTGGCCCATCAAGAAAAACTAAAGTAAAGCCTCGTGCAAACGGACGCAACATTGTTGGATCACGATGTTACATGTTGCGTCCGTTTGCACACCCTGTTGTATGTTGATGCATGCTGTTAGGAGTTGTTGCGCAATGTTTGAAACCAGTCAAACTTTGAGCTACGTACAAACGCACGCAACAGTAGTCTTTACACTAGAACCTAAATAAGCTAAGAAATATTTCAAGACAAGTAAATTTTAAATCCTCCAAGTAAAAGAAAGCTTCTCACACAACCTATCTTTTTTTTTTTTACTTCAGGTTTACTTAAGCCTATAGTTGGGTTTGTTGCATTCGTTTTCACTCAGCCTAAATGGTGATCTCTTTCCGGTTGGAGCAAATTCAAACCCAGTCACCCAGCTTTAAGAAGAAACTTTGCCAGGGGGGGAGTTGCCATTACTTGCCAAGCTGTACAATGCTAGTTTATAAAGCAGAATTTCTAGAAAGAGATTCAGTGCAAAATAAGTTTGTTTTCCTTGTGAAAAATATAAGGGCGTTTAAGGTGCCACGAGGAAGACGACAACAAGAACGTCAAAAAGCAATTGGTTGAATAGGCAAAACAAGAACTCTACAGGTGCATCACGCTTCTTTTAATTTGTACATTTCTTTGCCGTAACTGCACGACTACGACGGGGAAATGCCTAATTTCACGTTTTTTGGTGGACGTAAACAAGCGACGATTAAATTTTCTTTCTCTTTCTGAACTCAAATATGGTTCTAAATCTTACTAATAGGAATTCGGCTCAAAAAGAGTTCGCTTGTATTTGACAAAGTAAAATCACGATAGAGATTGAAAGAACGCAAATTCACTTTTTAAGCGAAGTTTTCGTGGACTTATCCGTCGTGGTATCTTAAACTCGCTTTAGCGCTTTGAAAAAAACTGAAAGGCAGTACTTTTCAGTTATCGCAGAACAATCAAGAGGAAATCTAGGGTGTGAGGTCGGGGAATACTGATGACTCGTACACATTCTCGACCCCAGTGCTTACGGGTTTGGAAATGATCTCTCTCCTCTACATGCGCAGAAGAGCTCTGGGTCGAGATTGACTCGTACCACAGACTTTCAGAAACTGCACAATTTCGTACCTAAAAGGGTCTGACGTCATAATAATGGAAAAGGAAGGTGCGAGTGGGGAAAAATGCTGTCGGACACCAGCGCTATATATTGGATCCTATTGAACCACCGTGGTTAAACGTCAACCATAAACGTCTAAAGCCCTTTACATGTTTTCATTTTTTCTTAAATTTACTCAGTTCCCCTGAGTTGAAATGCTTCACCCCCGAACAAAATTATCAATGAATAATTATAAAACTATTTTTTCTTAAACCAAAAACTGCCGTAGACGAAAACCATATTGGTAAAGTATCAAAATTAAGATAGACTTTTACTTTGACAATTACGAGAATGGAACTCCGAAAGCCGTGGATCTGGCAGCGTGAATAAACACCACCAGCGTCTATCGGGGGACAAAAGAAATAACGTCAGAGATCGTGCCAAGTTACGACTATTTGCAACAATATCGCAAGCACCCTGAGATGCGCTGGTTTGAGAGTCATTCTTGAGAATCTTGGTCATTAAGTGATGGCTGGACGCATGTTCCGCGGTTGAGAATTGAACAATTTTCGATTCACTCTTAATGTTGCATAAAGAATCCGACGTCGACTTGTTAAGAACATCATTTTCATGGCATTCTACATTGACGCATGTCTTGGGACCTAGTTGTTTTGTACATTCATTGTTTACTGTGGTCGAGTTTTCAGAGCATACAGACGTCCATCTCTTACAAGCTTGGTTAGCAACGGAACTTGACAAGTCGAGTCCCGTTTTAGCGAAATCGGACCGAATGTCATTACTCGGATTAAGAATATGGGCATTTTCTTGCATGGTGGGCTGGGTTTCAGGCAGAGAGTGCACCGAAATTATCTTGGGAAATTCACCGTGATCGTAGGCCAATCCATCGTGTCTTTGAGCTTTTCCACTTTCTGAATCTGAAGCTTGAAATCTAGTTGCGTGACTATTGTTACCCCGATAGTCAGTTGCGTGACATTCCATGTCTTGATATCTGGGTTTGTGACATTCTGACATTGCCTTACATTCAGTGGAGAGATATTTAGTTACGTGTCTTTCTGTACATCCATGTCCCGTTGAGGAACATCCGGTAGCCTCACACTCGATTCTGTAATCGGAAACTTGACACCTTTGACATCCGGTAGTTTGACAATCAAATCCCTTACATCCCATGCACTGATATTGCGATGTGTGACATGTAGCGCTCTGTAACGCTGCATTGTGGCATGCAGCAACCTCATATTCCGCAGTTGCGAGGTAACGCTCCGGCTGAAAATCCACAGATGACGCATATTTTAACTGGAGAAATGACGACTGGTGAGCAATATTTGTTGCTGAAGAAGAGAATAAAAATCTTCATAACTACCTATGGTCTTAGTAACTGCTCTTCTTTCTCACCTCAAAGAGGAGGAAAGCTGTATTAAAAGCTGGTGGCTTGCACTGGTACCTTCTCTAGACCGATCCATCTCTACTTAAACTACCCTTTCTACTACGGTTACAGGGAA